CGGTTTGACGTTCGTTCGAGAATCATTTTTGCATTCGTTTCGACCGGCTGTTCGATTCTCCTGACTTGAAATCGAAGGGTAGAGAAATAGAGAGATTTTAATTGAAATAGAGAGATATATTTTTTTAAATATTAAATATTTTGTGAACATTTTTCGCATAAACGCTCGAAATTATATATACAATTGGTCACGAATATTTGATGTAAAAATTATGCATCGATAAAGAGAAAGGATAAACTTGAGTTAAACCGAAAGATTAAATATGAATTTCGAATGTATGATATATATTTTGGGGGTAAATTTGAAAAAGAGCAATATAACGATTATTGGAATAAAAAAGGGATCTTAAAAATTTTCCTAGAATTAATTCAAAGTTCAACAAACAAATAACAACTCGCTTAGATCTCGACGGAGTTAACGTTCCCGCATGCTGCAAAGCTACTAAAAATATCCTTCCTACAACAATAACAATCTTCCCCTTCAAAAGCACAAATAATTTCTCCGAAATCCAATTCGAAATCTCACTTTGGCCTCCTCCAAATTACCCATGACTCACGTCTCCAGGAACCGTCTCCACCCCAAAACCACCCCGATCCGATCGATTCGACCAAACACATCCGCAACCCATCCCCTCCTCCACACCACAACAAGAAAAGAACCCATTAATTATTCTCCAAAGTTGTCGAAACACACCCCCTCCGCCCCCTCAATAAGAAAACTCGAGAAAAACATCTGGCAAGGGGTGACTTCTTTCTTCTTTCTTCCAACCCACTTGAAATTAAAAGGTAAACGGAACGCGAAGAATTAACCGGGCAGAATCCTCCTCCCCTTCCAGCCGATCGATCGACCCACCACCACCGCCACCCTCCTCTCTCTTTCTCTCTCTCTCTCTCGTCGCCACCACCGCCCCCGCCAGCACGATTCGCAACAACTTATTACGGTAAGTAACAGCGGGAATCGGGCAAGTTTCGTTGCTCCTTTGCTCGCCCCGCTTATCGATCGATCCCTCCCTTCTTCCAGGATCCACGTGAGAACACCCTGTGATCGGAAGAGAGGATCGAGAGACAACTGCTCGTTCATCCCCCTCAAGATTTCGAGAAAATTCCCGAGTGGAGAGAGAGGAGGCATTGATTAAACGGTGGCTGGCCGTTGGGGGTTGAATGGGGGAAGTTGAATGGTGGAGGATGGTCGAGGGTTGTGCGGAGGGGAGATGGTTTAAGGGCGAGTACGAGGGTTCTTCGCGTGAATTTCGATGTAAGGAGGGTAAAGTTTGGAGGGTTTCGGTCGAGATCTAAGAGAATTTTGGAAAAATTTAAGAAGAGGAGATCTGATCTTTATATATATTTTAACTTCGACTTATTTTTCCAATTTTCGATACGATGACGTGAATTTTTTTGATTCGATGACTTAAGGAATTTGAAATTTTTCATTTTGATCCGTGGAAAAAAGTTTCGGTTCGAACGGAAATTTTAATAAATTTTAGATCGATCAATATGATTCGATGATTCGTTAAATCCATTCTATTGGACAAACCAAGGAAAGAATTCTTTTAAAATGACAATGATACAAAGGAGAGAAAGAGGAGGAAAAAGTATAATTTTCTCTCCAAACTTTTCTTTTCCCAAGAAGCATTTATCCTTGCCACCCTATATCATTTCACGATTGCTCGTGACATTCACCATCGAACCGAAAAAAAAAAAAATCCGCAAATGGGAAAATAGACGGAAATCTACACGCTATATCGATACAAACTATACCAGAAATCAAGCGTTGCGGAATTCCAAATTCGATTATCGGGGAATTTCGATTGAATTCAAAGTTTTACGGTCCGTCAAATTCAAACTGCATCAAAAAAAAAAAAAAAAAAAAGAAGGAGAGAGAAAAGGAAAATATAAACAGAAAAAAAATACCTCGACCACGTTTCTGAATGATGAAACAAAAAATTTCGATCTCAACGACCGCTGCACACGTGAAACAAACTCGTTAATATTAATATTTGGACACGCGAAGAAAATATCCTTTGCAGTTAGAACAGAAAATAAAATTTCTATCCATTTAATTCTCATACCTTCCTTTTTCTTCTTCTCTCGATTGATAAGCGACGGATTATAAAATAATGGCGGAACCGATTATCGCAATGATGATAAGCATTCGTGCCAACTCTTTGAATCATCGCGAAAAACCATCGAGACATCGTCCAGTAAGTATTTTTATTCGACACGAATTCATTACGATTTCAACACAGCGGCGAACAATTTTCGCACACTTTGCACGCGAGAACGTTACAAAAAAAAAAAAGGAAAACCCGGTCGATATTGCGCACAGTCGAGGGAGAACACGCAGGAGGAAAAACACGTCGAAACACCACGGCTTCGAAAACGATTCGAGAACGAACGAAGCGCGGCTCGAGGGGGTATTTTTCGAGCGGTCGCGCGCCATTATCGCCCTCTTTCCCCCTCTGGTGCAACCGTGGATGGACGGTTACCACCACCGCCAACCGTATTCCTATTAATAACCTCGCCTCTTGTCCGCCGATTTTTCGAAAAACCGCGGGAAACGATTCGCTGAATCGGAAATAAATCGGCGCGGCTCGTTCGCGAAAATTTTTTAATCCGCCCTCCCCGCGATTCCCCATCGCCATCCCTCCCCCTACGCCCTTCCTGTCCCGCCAGCGGATCGATAGAGGGGAAAAGAGGGAAAAAGAAGGTCGCTCGCGAAAAGATTTTCCACTTGCGATTAAGTCAATTGATTCGAGTTTATCGTTTTGACTCGTTTTTTTTTTTTTTTTTAGTTGGTCGCACGAAGGGTAAAATTGATCACGGATGCGTGGAGAGGAAATTAACCGGATTTCCGAATTTCGCGAGCGCAAAAGTTTCGACTTTTTCTCTCTCTCTCCCCCTCTTCGTGAAAACTGGTTGTGAACTGGTTTCGAGCATCGAGGCGAATCGATGTTCCCTTTGTTTTCTTCGAATCGTTGTTCCGTATTCATTTCAAAAATCCCAGTTTGGAATAAACGGAGGAGGAAAGGTAAATTGATTTTCCAGTTTATTATTGGAGCGACATTTTCGAAGGAAAAAAATAGTCGATCGTTTACGGCAAAAGGGAGGAACAATAACGATTATTGATATTGATATTAATAGTTTGAATTATACATAGTTTCGAAATTTCGTCGTTAAAATTTGTTTATAAATATTTCTCAAGAAAGTATATAATAATAATACGTATTTTCAGATTCAGTCGAAAGCGGGAAGGATTATTGGATTATTTCTAGTACGATAAAACAAGAAAAACAATTCGCTAAAACGATTAAAACAATAATACATACATACACGGATCATAATAGTTGATGTTCGTAAGACCCGGTTAATAATTGAAATTTACACGCGCCGGATTACTGGAATTCTACCACAGTTCACAATGGAATTTAATATTCCAATTTCTCGATATAATTTTCATCACGATTACAAACTACGTTACGCGAAAAATAATTTCTATCCATTTGATTCATTATTAATATTCGTTACATCCCTTTTTCTCTTCCTTCCAAAAAAAAAAAATAATAATAATAAACTCGCCTTCTCCCGCTCGTGTACACAACCAAGGACTCGAGCGGAGAGATTTCGCGTGGAAACTCGGCGAGCAGAAGGTAAGAGAGCGTATCGAGCTCGAAACGAAATTTTCAAGTTTCTGGGTTAATTGGTTTTTGCGTCGCAACGTGTGCGCCGATTCGCGTCCCGATCGATTCGAAATTCCCGCCAAAGCTCCCCAACGAAGCCGATCCTCGACTCGAGTCGATCGAGCAGTTCGATCGATAATATTCGAACGAACGAAGGGAGGGGGAGGTCGAACAGGGTTAGACGAGATGGAATATTTATTTGACCAAGGAGGAGGCTCTGTTCGGGGGTGGGGAAGGAGGATTCGATGAAGTCGAGTCGGGGGAAGACGGATGGATCTCGTGGAGAGATTCGCTTGCTTTGGGATCTTGCCGGTATAATGGAAAGAAAGATGTACGTGATTTGGAGAAGGGGAGTACGATCTTAACCCATTTGTATGTATCGAGAAACCGCACGTGTGCTCGCCCCTCCCCTTCTTTATTGGTTTTCTGCTCTCCTTCGAAATTATTGCCATTTCGAACGAAATTCTTGCAAAAAATTCTCTTCCTTGGATATGAGATGAGGAGAAGAAATACGCGCGAGTGTAAAATCTGGCAAAGGGTTGGAAACAGAAATTGTTTCCAAATAGATGGTTGTACGTAACGTGATTTGCGATTTATGGAATTAAATAGGAGAGTAAATTGGAGAGTAATTAACGGAGGGAAAAAGTAATTTCGAAGTTATTTTCTTGTTTCTTTGTGTTTGAAACTTTGAAAGAATTTCTGAAAAAAAAAAGGTGTATTTCGCGATTTTCTGATGCGAAAGGAGAACATATGTATATACAGAAAACTTGTAAAAAGAAGAAAGGGAGGGTTTGTTATTCGCGTTAACATAAACGATTTAATTTCCGCAACGTATGATGTACACATTTTTAATTTCCAGTTTCTGTCAAACTTTCTACGTGCTAAAATTTTTGAATTAAAAGAAGAAACGGTGCAAATCTGAAACAGTGCTTGTCAGAGGTATTTCTAAAAATCGAAATAAATTTTCTTCCATCCTCTCGTGTGCTCTCTCGATTTAAGATAGAGGACTTAACTGGATCAATCAGCGTGGAAACAATGTTTCGGCGAACTTTCTCCGAATAAAGGCGGAGATAAAATGTAAAAATCGGCGTGAATCGTACGGGTTTTTTTAAAACGAATACAGGGGGGAAAGCGAAAAATAGCTCGTTCGTCCCAGAAAGAACGAACGATATCTAGGCCATTATAAATAATTACTACAACATTGTGCTTTGCTCCATCGCCCGCATCTCGTATCTCTTTTAATTAGTCCATTCCGTTTTAACGAGCCATAATCTGTCGGCGCGCGATTATTTTTTTTTTCTCTCTCTTTCTCTTTTCTCCATCATTTCGACGTCCACTTATCGAAGCTACACCAGTCGTAAATAATTATTTCATACGGAAAAGGAAGAAGAGGAAGAAGAAAAAAGAATCTTTTTTGATCTGTTTCGTCTCGGGTTAATTTAATTTCAAATTAAAGAAGAAAAATACATAGAAATAATTTTTCGAATGTGAAACCAACGCATTGAATTTTTACATTCAATTTTCTTTTTTCGTACACTTCGTTATTCTATAATATCAATATAATAAAGTTTCCACACATTCGTTCAATAAGCTAACAATACGAAAAATTCAATAATTGTTATAAATCTATCGATTTCCGACGATGGAAAATCTCGACTTTAAGATCACGCTGCCTGCCTGCACAGGAATCGGAGCGCGATTACGTAAACGCAAATCCGAAGCCCGATCAGGTCAGGATTAATGCGATTATACGATTCTTCAGATATGCGTTCAACCCTTTTCGTTATATTCATCGATCGACTCGCTTTGCATTTCGAATAAATTCTAATTCCCAGAATTTTTATTCCCTAGATGTCGTTGGCCTTCAATTAACAATTTTCTTGGATGGAAATTTTCTTTGGATGGATTTGGATGCAAGAGGCGTTATATCCCGTATATGATCGATTCGATGGACAATCATGAATAGAAGTGGTTCAACATCTTCTTCATATATTTTTTTAAAAAATAGAAATCTCGAATAGAATAATCGAATCTAAACGGATCAACAATTTTTCTAATCCTCATCCTCTCTCTCTCTTCCAAGAAGAAAACGTCGATCGAACCACGAGCAAAGGATCGATTTCCAAACAACGTTTACCTTTCTTTCCCCTCCCCTTTCCCTTTTCTCTTTAAAAATCACAATTCCCCTTTCCAACCAAATTCCAACCAAAACGTAAAAAAAACGCATCTCAATCAAACTCCCTCCCCCCTCCCCCACCTCTTTTGAAAAATTTCTCAAACGCCCTTTCGTTTTTAATCCCTCGACCCCCCCCCCCATCGATCTCTCCAAATCGAGTTTCCTCTTCGCCTACCGTTTTTCACCTACGAACGAAGGGGAGGAGGAGGAGGAGGAGGAGGAGGAGAAATTTACGCGTAGGATAAACACGTAGCCGAGGCATTCGACGGACGTTTTCCAACCGGGTGGACCACCGCTCGACGTACCGTAACTGATTTATACGCACACAGGTTATAAACACACAGTTTCATCCTCAAACTGGCGGTGTATCGCGTTCTATTCACTCGAGGCGTGCTGAAACGGAGCGCCGATCTTGTTGGTTTTTCAGGGGGTTTTTTGTTCGCCGCTTCGTTAACAATATCGTCCCCATATTTTCCGCGGCCAACGAGTCTCCGGTTTCCACATTTCCCCTCCCCCCACGATTTCGTCCAAGCGGCGATGAGATCGAAAATTTTATCGAATTTTTCCCTTCGTTCCTTTTTTTTTTTTTTTCTTTTCTTTTCTTTTGAAAAGAGTTTTCGAATTAGATCGGCAAACGGAATTAAAAGAACGAAAGTGGAGAATTGCATTTATACTTTCATCCTTCATAAATACAAATGGAACGTTTTACAAATGGAATTACAAAATTCTCCGGGAGAAGATTCCGAAATTCGTTTGAAAAGATCAATTGTCAAAATCCGACAAATAATTAACAACTCCCTTCCCCCCCACCGTCGAATAAACGATGGAAAAAGATGGATCGTGTAAATTAACGAGACGAAGGGCAGACCGAGGTTGAATCATGATCGTCGAAAACCCGAGCAACCCCCTCCACGCGATCGAACGGTATCACGGTTAGCCCGGCATGGAAACGCGTCATCCGACACGCATCCGCACAAGGTTGTTCTGTTAACCGGCGTGCAATTAGCATATCCTGCGGGCGTGCATAATGCACGCCGCTCGATCGAATCGGCGAGGGGAGAGAGAGAGCTTGTAGCGCCAGATGCAGCCGGGGAGTGCAGGGCGAAACGTTTAACGATCGCTTCTAATAACAATTCAACAAGCGTGATTATAATTTTGACTAATCAATAGTTTAGACGAGGAGAAAGGAAAGATCGGAGTACTTGGCGTAAATTTTTTTAATTCTTTCATCTGAGAGGAGAAATTAAATGATAATAAGAGATGGCAAGTTTGGAGTTGAGAGAATGAAAAATTTCGCGAGAAGGAATATCTTGGAAAAATATGCAAGGAGAGAGTTCTGACAAGATTAAATATCGAAAAGAAACTTGAAGAAAATACGTAACGTGAAATCTTCGGTCGAATCGAAGTTGGAAAGAAATTTTTTCAAAAGAGAAATCCCCAAGAAGCTAGTATTTCCTAAGTAAGTACCAATATATAAATTTTGAACAACGTTAAAAACACCAAATATCTGAGCGATAGAATAAACCTTGCAGAACTCGCGTGCGATATGAATATTTGCTCGAAAGTGAAGTATTCCCTCCCCCCACTGTGCTTTCACTCGTGAATTTTTTCTCCAAGAATAAAAAAAAAAGAAAACTCCATAACCTTATCTCTCCAACATGACGAAGATTAAGACCATCGATCGTTCGAGATGCCAGTCTGGAACGAATTTTCACAATGGACAGATTTCCTTGGACGAGAAAAACGAAAAAGAAGAAAGAGCTACGCGTATAATTGCACCGAATTCGCGGAGAAGGTGAATCGAATCGATCACTTTCACCACTTTCACCCCTCCCCCCGAAAGAAGAAGTTCGGTCGAACGAGGTGTTACAAAGTTGAGACGGTTATTTTCTTTCGTGGAAGGAGACGACTCTTCTCCTTCTCTCGTTCCTCTGCTTCCGTTCTCGGAACGCGACAAAGCCACGCTTCGATCCTCCGCCTCGTAATTAGCCGACCCACTTTGCGACGCTGGAATCGCCGCTTCTCTTTTCTCTCTCTCCCTTTTTCCGATCGAAATTGTTCGCTCTTTTCCAAGGATCAGATCACGCAGTCGTTTGGATGTATACAACGAAAAACGTCACGCGGGAACACGTTTTTAAAAAAAGTGAAGTTTTCGAAGGTTTCGAATATGCTTTAGTAGGATTGAATAAGTAGGAAGAATAATACAATTTTATATTATAATTTTTCACAAGTTTATATTTCTTACTTTCAAAATTCATAGATCGTGTTGCTACAGAAAATACCGAATAACGAATCATCTCGTCCGCTACTCGATCTGCATACGCACTGAAACTATGTACGTTGGAAAAAATTCGAACGATGATTCGAAAACGTGTAAATCAACAAGCTAAAATAATCTCGATCGAAACTAAGGGAGAAAATCTCGATCGAAAATCACACGGTTTCCCCAATATCGGTGGCCGAGATCCACAGCTCGTCCCAATAAATCAGCTATTTTCGATATCGTCTCGCCAATTTCTCGGCGGGGGGCGATATCTCTGGCTGATATCGACCCGTGGACAGAGAGAGGGCAGGATTCGAGGTATCTCGAATCCGTCTGGCCGCCACTTGGAGCGTAGACAATCGATAACCGAAGCCGACGTTAATCTTGGCCCGATAATTAGGTGCCGCAGCGTTTCTCGGATATTGACTTGCAGACGCCTCGATAGTTTACACGCGTTTCACGCACGGTTTCGAAATGTCGTCGTCGACGCGCTCGTCGAGAATCGATTCTTCCGATATTAATTCGGCGCCCTTTTTTCTTAGCTCGATTAATTTCGTACCCGACTTTCTTGGGGAGGAGGGAGAGGAGAGAGAGAGAGAGAGATTACAGAGAGAGTTATAACGTTTGGATGGTAAGAAAGAGGACATACAAATCTCTATAATTTTAAAATTACTTTTGAAGAATATAAGAAATTCTTTGCTCGTAAGAAGATCCACAAGTTGAGAATAATCGGGAGAAGGATTTCTAAAATTCGTTCCTGCCACCGCACGGATCTAAACTTAATGGAGTAACCGTGCAACTTTCTTCTTGCCAAAAACAAGTCTTCCGACCGCGAGTCTTAAAATCTCGAAGTCTCATCGACGACAGCCAATTCGAGTTAATATTCGTCGAAAATATGGAAAATGGCGTCTTTGCACCTGTTGCCATCGATCGAAAAGTATTTTTTTCGCTTTGATCTCGATCGGCAAAACGAGAAAAAAAAAAAAAAGCGGAAGACGAAAAAGGGGGAAAATGTCGGCGGCCCGAATTCCGGACGAGTTTCGACTGCGTTTCCCTCGATTGACGGGCCGCCAAGCGGAAATGAAAACTTTGTTTACCGTGTCCTCGCTAATTACTCGGTCGATCGTCGAAAGGGGGCTTTCGAGGATTTTATACGCGGAAAAGCTTGAATTGTAACCCGTGAAATCGATGCTCGATGACACGAATAAATAAGTTTGTCGAATCGAGGAGAGGAGAGGAGTAATGCCGAGGGGGAGGGTTGAAAAATTGGTTGAAAAATTTTATTTTGGCTACGAGAAGGTTCGATCCTTCGGCATCGTTTTATAACCCGTTTCATGAAAATCAAAACGACGACACAACAAATAAATATTAATTTACGAAATCACGAATAATGAAACAGAGCCAACAAAGATCACTGCTCCCAAAGCCAAAACAAAAGATCTTATCCAAACACCTCCATTTGAAATTCTAATTTTCTACTAATAAAATCACCAATTCCGCGCAATCCGACAAATAACCCGAGCCAAACCAAATAACTCTCTCTCTCTCTCTCTTCCCAACCAAAAAACCACCGCGTCGAAACAAAGCGTGGCTAACGAGAAGACTTTCCATCGAATCGAATCTCTTCTTCGAATCCTCGCTTCGAAGCCCAAAAACCCCTCGATTCGAAAAATCCTTCGAACGTGTACTCCCCTCCTCCCCCAATCAAATGGAAAGAAGAACAAAAGGAGTCGAAGATGGCGCGTGCAAGAGTCGTTTCGTTTCGTTCGAAACGAACACGTGACAAAACGTACGACGATGACGAGGAGAGCCGGGCCCTCTTCGTCCCCTCCACCGATATCGCGCGTCTCCCTCGCGCGAGGCCACCGATATCGCGGCCTCTCCCTCCCCGTAAGGG